TTTTAAGGGAATTTAGTCTTGATTCTTCTAGTAATCCAACTATGTTAAGTATTAAATTTAGTAGATATAATCACAGAACATCATTTGACTACCTCTTACACTATGCCAAATGCTGCCACGTTCCTCATTTCACTTAAATGCTACAAAAGTTCTGATTGGAATGTTTCAGATTGGAAGGCAGTCTGCCAGTTGTCTTCCAATATTCTCTCCTTACTCCACAATAATGGCATTTGTAGCAGGACACGTGGCCATGCAGAAAGAAAGGCTACATTTTCCAGTGAGGTGTGGTTCAGACTTAGCCAATGGCGCTTTAAGAGGGAGGACTGTGTGATTGTTTCTGGGAACCTTCCTATGGCAGACAGACACTAGGGAAGCCCCCATGGACCCCAAGCCCTGGTGTTCAGGCCCTTGTAAAATATAATACCCTTCCTCTGAGTGTGGGTAGGACCTAGGACTTGTTTCTAACTAACAGAATATGGCAAAAATGATGGACTGTCACTCATGTAGTTGTATTACATAAGAGTCCTTCTTGCTAGTAGACTAACTCCAGAGGCTGCCAGAAACGGCTTGGGGAAGTAAGTGGCCACGTTGGGGAAGCTCATGTGGCAAGGAACTACAGAAAAAAATACGGACAATCTCTAGTAACTGTGACCTCTAGGATGCCAGGGAAGCCTCCACCCAATAGCCAGAAGCCAATAGCAAGAAGCTGAGGCCCTCAGTCCCACATACACAGCAAATAAATCCTGCTAATAACTTGAGTCAGCTTGGAAATGAATTCTTCTCCCAGAGAAGAATGCAGCTCTGTGAACATCCTGATAGCAACACTGTGAAACCCAAAGCAGAGAACAAGCTAGGCTGTGTCTATATTCCTGACCCCTGGAAATCATGAGATAGTGTCTGTTGTTTACTTTGCTGTTTGTGGTCATTTGTTACTCGGCAATAGATAACTGATACACTCCTTCAGTCACAGCTGGCATGTGCTTTTTTGCTCTGTCTTTCCTTTTTTTTTTTTTATGTCTTCTTCCATCTTGTTGTGTAGAGCTCAGCTACAATTTGACTGGACCAAGAAATTGAGAGTCACCTTCAGGATGATGAGCCTTGAGCTAGAGGAGATCTAGGTTCCTGAAGGGTATTCATCTGAACATAAGCATTTATCTTGTTTCCACCATTGTTATTTTGTACTTTCTATCACTTAATACAGTAGATATTGTTAACTGGCATTTATTTTATTTTACTATTTACTGTGATAAGAATTCATGTTTATTATAGGTGATTTGGAAAGTGCAATGTCTACGGAAGAAGAAATATTACCCATTACTTTACACTCAAAGATACCCAGTATTAACATTTTGCTGTACTTCTTTTAGTATTATGATGTCACGTTTTGAAAATGAAGACCTCTATAGCAAATATTTGTGACATTTAAATGTCATGGCTTCTATGTCAACAAGATAAAGGTTTTGACAAAATTACTTTAAAACATCTGGCTGCAATGTAAAAAATCCAATTGAACAAGCATGTGGCATAAAAGAGACAAAATGTCCAATCCATTGTTTTCATTAAATTTAAGCATTTTAATTTTTTTTTTTTCTTTAGAGACAGGGTCTTGCTTTGTTTCCCAGGCTGAAGTGCAGTGGCATCATCATAGCTCACTGCAACCTCAGACTTCTGGGCTTAAGCAATTCTCCTGCCTCAGCGTCCAGAGTAGCTGGGACTACAGGCATGTGCTACCATGCCCAGCTAAGTTTTCTATTTTTTGTTGAGATAGGATCTGACTATGTTGTCCAGGCTGGTCTCAAACTCCTGGCCTCAAGTAGTCCTCCTGCCTTGGCCTCCTAAAATGCTTGGATTACAGACATGAGACACTGCACTCGGCCGTATTTTTAAAAAAGTCAATTTAGACCATTCATTTATATGTTCAGAAATGTGACCTCAATAACTAACCATATAAAGAAGCCAGATTTCTAGCCTTTGGTTATTGATGTAGAAGTTTATTTTAGGTACCCAAATTGTCTAGGTTATTTTGTGTTGAATGATGGATCTGAGGATCATTAGTTAACTTTCAAATTTGTACATACATAGGCTGTGATTTTTGCTAGTATTTTCACCTGCTACTTAAATATTTACGCAAACTCAAACTTACAATATTCTTAACTGTAGCTTTTTAAAAATTAGAGCTTTGTTAAATCTTAGTTTGGGAGTTATTTTTTGAAAATTCTCATCAAGTCTAAGGTTGTTAGTAGTTCTGATCCTCTACATAATGGTGCCAGTCTATCTTTAAAAACATGTCCTAAATCAACTCTTAGTTCAAGGCAAATTGGACTTCTCCAAATATGCCACGTACAGCTCCCTCTTCCACCTTTACTCAACTTTCCAGCTCATGGTGATCTGCTCTGCACTTACTTAAATGGACTCTTGCTTTAACATCAGTGGAACTCTCAGCTTCTTCATGAGAACTCTCTTACATCAGGTCAGACCTCTTTGATTTCTCCATTCTCCAACCCAGATCATTTCCTATCCACACTACTTAGATGACAGCAAGTACCTACTACTTCTCCCTGAGGAAAAGGACTTTCTTATTCTTACCTCTCTTCTGCTGGACTGCCTAGAGATTAGCATTTTTTCTTGGGCAGTTAATTGGTAAACATAGCCTAAAACTCTATCAGTAGCTATATTTTCCACTTATTAAAATAAGTAGGATCATTTGCAATGAAAAGTCCACTGATTTAATTCATGCATGGGGAAAGATTTAAGAAGCGTATATAAAATGAGGAAATAGAAACCTGCATTTTGCATCTCTGTAACAACCTCATCTTGTGAACTAAAAAGTCTTATTAAGGAGGTATGGCTCTAAGTCATTCCATTTCATGTGCATTGGCCTTGAGAGAAGCAAATCTGTCTGTGTAATCATATTGTATTTCCTTTGGAAATAAGGGAAAATGAATAAAAAGATGTGAGGAGTACAATATGATTTTTTTAAAACAAAACTGGTAATTTATAGACTCTCCAATTCAAAGTGAAAGAAAGTGTCAATTAACACTCAAAGACTTCCATGTTCAAGAGCACTTCATAGAGAATCAATAACTACTACAGTTGGAATATGTCCCCCAAAGTTCACATGTTGGAAACTTGATTCTCAATACAATAGTATTGAGAATCAACAGTATTGAGAATACAACAGTATTGAGAGGTGGGACATTTAAGAGGTGGTTAGGCCATGAGGGCTCTGCCTTCATGAATGCACTGATGTCCAGTCTTGCCTTCCACCTTGGGAAGACTCAGCAAATAGAGCCCTCACCGTATGCTGGCAAGTTGGTATTGGACTTCCCAGGCAGGAGGATTGCTTAAGCCCAGGAGTTTGAGGTTGCAGTGAGCTATGGTGATGCCACTGCACTCTAGCCAGAGAAACCAGAGCAAGACCTTGTCTCAAAAAGAAAAGGAAGTTGACTTTATGGTTTGCAAATACTTTTCTAATCTAATTCATTAAACTCTTAGATGATTCCATGTACAGGTGAAGCAGCTGAGGCTCTTGGAGATCACACTGGCGGTAGAATGAAGCCTCCAACTTTGGTCATTTCACTCCTTTGGATAAACTACTCTCATTCTTGTTCCTGTGAAAAGAAACTTTTATTTGGGGGTAGTGTGGCATTTTAAAAACATGCCAGATAATTAAAGTAAAGAATAAAAAGCTCTGTGCTAATTTAAATTGCAAAAAGCTGATAATTATCCTACGCTAAATAACTCTGCTTTTTCTCTCTCACTCTTTGAAAATAAAAGAAACTTTCTACAATGGTTTTTGCATTTCACACAATTTTAGATTTATTTGCTTTTCTGATTCATTAATGTAGAATGGGCAGGAGACTCTACCTCTAGGAGGTTAAGTAGGAAGCTGATAGAAGGTGGGAAATGTATTTTTTTCCTCTTTATAGGCAAATTGCTTCATACATTTGATGTATGACTCCAGATTGCATTCTGCTGCAGTTTTATTTTCTAAGTTTCCATATAAGATAAAAGATTTCAGTGATTTGCCATTTTAAGAATAATTTCCAATTTCAGAGAAGTGGAACTTTTTTTTTTTTTTTTCCACCAGAGCCCATTTAATGATGTTAAATCAAATGCTGCCAATCACTCATGTTCCCTGGGAAGTTCTTGTACAAGGTGATGCTACCCTTATAAATCTTACCACCAGGCAGAAGTTCTGTTCTAGCCTAAGGGTCACGTTTTGAGTCCTCAGCTAGATCTTGGATTGGATCTGACCAATCAGATCTTAGTCATTCCTTTCTGTAGCTAGAACCACAATCATATGGAAACAGAGTGCTGCTGTGTTGCTAAATATTAAATAGGTGGAGGTAAGTACTCCCTGGAAGAGAGGACGATGTTTCTAGTTCCTAGTTTCTGTGAGTCATGGTCGAAACTCAGTGGGCACTTTGGAATTTTAATGTGTCTAACTTAAGTATCAGGCTTAATAGCACCTTGTTTAAAATTGAGTTTGAAAAATCCATAAAAGTCAAAGACCTTGTAGTGCAGCAGAAACAATATTGAATTTGGAGTCAAGGGCCTACCCATTTATTTAAGTGTTTCTCAAATAGACTCCCTGAGTCAGAATCATTGGGAATATTTGTTAAAAGGCAGATTTCCCCAAATTCTGCCTAGACTTATTAAATTAGAATCTTTGATGGGGCACATTGGAAAGTTGCATTTTTACCAGTCACCTTAAGTGATACCCGTGCACTCTAAAGTTCAGCATCCTCTATTCCTATTTCTTCTTTCTAACATTTCCTTATCTATAAAGCGAAGCCATAAAATATTTAGGAATTTTAAGTATCTTTTTACTCCCTGGCTCTTTTGATTCCATTAGTCCTTGAGTGCCATACCTTGGGTCACAGCAGTTATTTTGTTTAAACTACTATCACCTCTATAAATAAAAAAACCATAATCTATAAATACAGATAACTATTAATCTTATAGTGCTAATAGCCATCCATCTTTTGTTTACTTACCAGTGCTATCTTTGATTTAAAATTTCAGAGGGATTTTGTGCTGTGTGATTTCCCTGGCTCCTGTTTTAGAACATACAGAAAAACATTTCTTTCCATAAAAGGTATAATATTAATGTTATATTATGCCTTAGAAGAAGAATGGAGATATCGTGGAGATGAAGGAGGTGCTCATACAATCTTAACGATCACGCTGCCAACAAATCCTATAATGATTCCACAGTCAGGTTTTATTTCAGCAAGATTTTGGTGAAGAAAAACATGAAAATAAAACTGGAATGATTGAAGAGCCTTGAAGAGAATAATAAAATGAAATTATTGAGTGAGGTACTAAAATCAGAGATGATGATGAACCTTCACTCCTGTAGGAGCACGAAGCTTCAGAGGGGCAGCAGATTCTTATAAAATGCCTAAGTAGCATTTTAACTTGATTTTAAAAATAATATATTACTACTTCTTTAACATCTTTCTTTCTCCTCCCATAGTATCCTGACTGAATTGCAAAGGGAAAATACATAATTCCTTTGTAAATATAAAAAATAAACAACAGTGTGAAAGAATTTTATGTTTTAATGCAGAGGAAGAAAGGAAGATGTAGATTTGCAATCAAGTATACTTTACACATGGTTATCTGAAATAACATCTAAGCCCTGGGACCAATCATACTGTGAGTTCTCCCATTCCCATGCCCCAAATATCTCTATGTCTCATGTGCCCAAGGTACTACACTGGAGAGATCAGACTGAAATTTTTCATCAAACATTATATGAATGGGAAAAATATAAAAACAGGACATTCAGCCTGAGGCCTTTATGTGGAAGAAAGAGTATAATTAGTGTTGTCTTGGGAGTAATATCAAATATGTAGACCTGCTATTTATAAGAAGCACTGGCTGAAAATTAATCTTTCTTTTTTCCTCTGCCAGTATCGTACTCCCCCTACCTGGAACCTGGATCTTGAGTTAGATTTGGGATTTCAGCTTTAGTCATTGGCTACCAATTCAGAAGGAAATGATTTTTCTTGTTTCCTAAAATGCATAGCTAAAATAATAACTTAAATCTGAATATTAAATATACATACCAACATTTCAGAGTACATTTATCACTGCTTAAATATCGACTTATACCAAACATTAAAAAAGAAAACCGATGCTAGAGTTGTTATAGGATTAGATGTCAGAAGCATTCTATTTGTGAAAGTGGATAAACAAATAATTTCAAGGGATAGCACTGAAACAACCAGCAGAGTTGGGGTAATTTTTCCAACTGTCCTTTTAAAAGAGCTCATCAATCTATTTGACTTCTTTATTAGGCACACAATATTGTTCAACATGTGCCTTCTATATATTTCCTTCTAATACTTCTCATAAGAGCTTTAAAACAGGTCTCCAAGGAATGCCCTGACAAGAAGACAGAAATATAGTAAAAGAACAACAAAAAACCTCAAGGGTAAACACTTAAGCTATAGCATCAAATTTAAAAAATATGTAATATATAATATGCTGATTGTATATGTTATAGAAGGGGTGGGATTGTAAGACCTTTTCCCATAAAAACGATTAATTGAATTTGTCTCTACTGTTACATTACCTAATAAAATATTACTTAGGGTAAATTTAGAACAGTTAGAATTTGAAACACTTTTGTTTCAGAACACTTACTAAGCAAGCCATATTGTCTACTAGCATAAGGTATTTTTTGAGCATGAAATTTCTAGTTACATCATATCTAATCTTTCTAATTCCAACAGCCATTTGGAACTTGTTCCTATTCAGATTGATAGATGTGAATTCTGTGCCTTTAGCAAAAGAATATAACCATTCCTTGTCTAACTGCTATAATATTTCTTCTCTTTGATGTCAACCATGTCCAAAGTGGTCCTATGAAGCCACACATAATATAAATGGAACAAATACAACATGATTTATGCATATTTGAGTGTTCCACATATCTGATTAGATAAAGAATTACTGTACTATGGAGGGACACATTCTTCCCCTTGAAATTAATTATTTGCAGTATTTCAGGGCTTGGTCTGAGGTCTACTAAAAATGTGTTTTAACATATTACCACTGTTTTTTTCCTACTTTCTGATGTCTGCTATATGGTTGATCATTGCAGGACCCCTGCAAGAAATCTGGGTTGTATTCCATTTTAGACAGAACCCAGTATTTATAAACTTTAGCTTAGATTATTTGTTCACATGTGATTTCTATTGAAAGATTTCCAATGATGTATGTCATATTCAAATTTTTGCTCTGTGACTTAACTCCTCTAATTATATTTCTTTTGCCTGTATGTGTCATTTTATGAGGTCACTGTTGAACTTTCTATTAAGGCACTCTAGTTAAAGCACTTTAGCATAAAGGATGGCTTTTAGGGATCAATAATTATAGTGAATAAAGTAATACATTAATACAGAAAAGGATCATTTATCACGAACTTCATAAATGCACACTAACTTGTGGTTTAATGGACAGCTAGGTCCAATTTATCACTCTGTCGAGTATTATCATTCACAGTCTGACTGTCATTTTATCAGACAGTATGGAGGCAAAGAATTAAGACTTTCTAAGAAGCCAAAGAAAGGGTATGTGATCTCACTTTTTAGCCTCAGGGAAATAGTCTGCATTTAATCTGTTTCCTGATGCTTTTAAGTTTAGGGTTGTGGAGGTCCTTTGATTTTTCTTGTTTGATTCTGCTGATGTGCTGAAAGGTCAAATGGGAAAAAACGATTAAGTAATTTCAATACTGAAAGGCTTATTTGTTTCAAAACTTAAGTAGCATATATTTCATTGCTAGAAAACTGTACAGTAGCTCATATTTTTGTAAAAAGAAAACCTTCAGATAAAATTGTATTAGAGATATGTAGCAATGTAATTGTCTACTTAGGATCCAAAGATTTAATTTTAAAGTACAAAAAAAAATCTTTTAATTCAATCCTATAATCAAAAGGTCAAAAGTAAACATCAGTGAACTGCATTTCCTTTTCATAAGGGTTCTTGCTCCATGTCCAGCAGAGAAGAGGTGATATCATTGATTATAAACTTGTTGTCAAATCCTATCTTATTTTAATGATAAAGACACCAAAGAATAGAGAAATGAACCAACATGCTGATGTTTACATAAATAAATGATAGAACAAGTATTGTGATTTGAAAATAAAATCTAAATGATACAAAAATGAGAGGAAAGTAGAGATTAAATAGTCCCCAAATTAAAAAAAAATATAGGATTTTTCTCCAGTTGATTAGAAAAATCTATTATTTTCATATATTCTGGAAAATGATCAATTCTTGACTATTCAGGACAGGTAAGAGATTAATTTCTTTATGTAATTAGGAGTATGTTCTACAATGAATAAATAGCACCAAATTAAAATTTTCCATTTAAAATTTTTTTTGCTTTTTTGATTATACAGCAATTCATAGTAATTATTAAAAATCCAATTAGCCAGCTTTTGATTAACTTTATTCAATACTTCTATATATTTATATATGATAGAAATAGAAAAATTAATATATCCATGTTTACATATACACATGTATACACACATGCATACAAATGAATTTTTATGTAACTGGTATCATCAGACTATTTCTATACTGTTGAATATCCTGAGTATTTCCAATATTTTCCTGTAATGAATAATGTAATATATAAAATGGCATTTTTTCATATATAATCTTTGTTCATATATGTGGTTATTTCTTTAGAAAAATTTCTGGAGGAGGAATTTCATCAAATGATATGGATATTTTTAATATATTTGATGCATATTTAAAATTTGTAGGCAGGTTGTGCCAGTTGTTCCTCTTTATAGCAGTGTGTTATTTTTTTTTTTTTTACATTCTACTTGATAGTTGCCAAATCTTTGGAAAGTTGATGGGTAAAATATGGAATTTCACCGTTGTTTTAACTTGCATTTCTCTGATTATTAATTGATCATTAATGAAGATAAAACTTTTAAAATTTATTATTGACAAGAATTTGTTTACTCTGGTCTGTCTGTATGTTTATTCTGTTTTATGTATCTCTTGGTATTTGGTGTTTTCTCAACAATTTGCTGGAGAACTTTGTATATTATACTTATTGATTATTCTGACATATTTGACTTTATTTTCTTGTTTTTTAATTTTTCTTATGCTTTTTTGATATACAGTAGCTTTTAATATTAATATTTACATAGTTACATGCATATCTTTTTTCATGAATTTTCCACATTGATTTTATTTTTATTTTTTTTTAGTCGTGTTGTTTGATTTTTTTTTTTAATTTCGTTCCACATTGATTTTAAACTTAGAATTTTTCCCCAGCCAGAGAGCAGATAAATATTTACTGACATTTTCTCCCAGAATTTTATAATTTCACATTTCATGTTTATATCTTTAGTCCTTTGGAATTAGTTTTGATGGATGATGGCAGGTGAAGTATACTTTCATTTTTATTTTCATCCCAAATAGATAATTATTACAATATCATTTATTGAATAATCCACTCCTTTCCTACTAATTAGCAATAATTCTTTCATCATTGGTTAAATGTATTTTATGAGTTTTCTATTCTGTTTCACTGAAATATGTCTAGTCTTGAACCACAACAATGTTATAGTTATTGTGGATTTATAATACACTTGAATTTTGAATGTAGTAATGCTCTCATATTTTCCAAGTTTTTCAAAATTTTCTTAGCTATTTTTGTTTGTTTATTTTTCCTTATGAATTGCAGAATTATTTTTTCAGGCACTAACATATTTTATAATTAATTTGATTATTAATATCTACTAGTAATTACTGAGTATAACTTCTTTAAACATTATATTATTTGGGAATAATGAATATATCTAGAGCTTTGTCTTTCACTCAGAAATATGCCTTCATTTATTTCAGTCCTTTAAAAAAATCTCTTTCAGAAAGGTTTTTAAATTTCCTTTATATATTAAATGTCTGTCAGATCAGGCTTGTGTTTTCATGTTTCATCTATCTTGTTATTGTTCATGGAGGTCTTTTCAAATAATTTGTTACTGTATTGTAATATGAACAGTAAAAGTTATTGAATTCTGTGAATTTTTATCTAGCCACTTTGTTGAATTTTTAAATTAAATTTAAAAGCTTCATAGTTTATTCTTTTAAGTTTCCTAGGCAAACAATCATATAATAAAATAATAATTTTGATCTTGAAATATATATATAACTTGTTTCCTTTTTATTTTTGACACTAGAAAGAAATTTCAGGATAATATTAGTTTTTAGTGTTAATAGGCAACAACCTTGATTTCTTTCAAGTGTGAATGGGCATGTCTTTGGTATTTGGCATTTGGGTAATTTTTTGTAATACACTGTATTTATCACATTAAAGATGACTCATTTTATTGCAAACTTAAATTACTTTTCTTTTTAATCAAAAGAAAAAGCCTTTTCAACATCTGAGATTGTATTGTATTTTTTAATTTGATTTATTAATTTATTATATAAAAAATTCATGTTTATTGAAATACCCTCTCCTTCCTTCTTCAGTAAACATACATTATGTGCCTGTTTTGGACTATTCTGTTATTATTAATACTTTCAATCTTTAACTGTAAATAATGTTAGTTGATCAAATGGGATGCTGATTACATAACATTTTGGGGGAGAATATTCTTCAAAAAGGTATGTAAAATATTATGTTAACTTTTCTAGAAACCATATTCTGCAGGACAAAGTTACAGGAACTAGCTTTGTTGTAACTGACAATTCTCCCAAAATGCAGTTAAACTTTATTTGACAAAATACGTAGAAATTTAGTCAAATAAAAATAAAGAGCAGTTTTTGTAAATTGCATACTTAGTACAGAAACTTACCTCCATTTTAGCATTATGAAGACATATTTATCATCAGTCCATTTTAAAGCACTATTTTAAAGAAAATGGAGAATCAATTTCAATAACTAATATTAATACTTGAACAGTTATTTTTTCAACTGAATTACATGACATTTATCTTAAGCATATAGTATTTATTATTTTGGCTAAAGCAAACTATACAGAAAAATAATTTGGGGCCATCTATAAAGAGTTTTTATTGTGACTAATTCACTTGGTGGGAATACACTCCTCTCATAAAGTACTGATAGTTAAAATTAGTTAAATAGGTATTGTTGAAATCAGAGGGATAATATACAGAGCCACAATTAAACAGGTAAGTAGATTAAGAGTCATCTAACTGCAATAGCACATGAAGAAAAAGCAGAAAGTAAGGGCTTTGTTGGTGGCAAATGAAAATATCTCATTCTTAGTAGTTCACCCTCCCCCAATAATATTCTGTGCTTAGTTGCTATTCTAAGTGGAACTGCATTATAATTTCCTGAGTTGTTTCCTTCTTGTTGTGAACCCAATGAACAAAAAAATACTTTATTTATTTAAGGCAGCTGTAAGAAGGAAATTTAAATGGATCTTATTTCTGTTATTCAAGAATACAGAACTATTTCAGGACTAAATGAAAATACTATGTAGCAAAGGGTTATGTAACCATTGAGTATATTTAGAATATTTGAATGCCCATTACAGGAATCACTTCTAGGAAAATAATTCCATGTGGATGGATTATTTCATGACTAATGATTACGTTTAGTCTTGCATATTAGGATAATCTGAGGATGTTCTTTCTCAATCTCTTTCTCTTTTTCTAGCGTTTCCATGGTGTTAGAGAGCATCTCACTTCTTTTCATTATGAGAGCATCTCACTTCTTTTCATTTAGGGAAATAAAAATTGATTATCTAACTGCTTGATTTAGCGAACCAAGTCCCATGGTAAAATTCTGGGCATTACTAATATTCAGAGGAATGCAAATTTAAACAATAATGGGGTAATTTTAACAACTTTTAAATTAGCATCAACTTTAAAAATGATAATAGCTTAATGCTGGCAAGTTCCCACTAAAGCTGATAGATTAAATTCATATACTTCATATACTTCTAGGAAAACTTCTAGGAATTCATATACTTCTAGGAAAACACTTTGGAGCTATATATCATAAACCATGGAAAAGTTAATATTCTTTGACTCTCTGATTCCACTCTTGGTAATTTACTTCAAGGAAACTCTTCAGATGAAAACAAAAACAAAAACAAAAAACCTTTTGAACATAAAGGAGCTCATTACAGCAATGATTATAATAAAAAAGTAGAATAAATTTAATATAAAACCACAAGAATAATTAAATCAAGAAGTAATGTCATATTATAGTGTCCTTAAGTAAAAATTATGAAAATGGTTCAGCATGGAAAAGGGTTTGTGATGTCAGGTTCAAAATTTTATGTACACTATTATCACAACTATAAATCTAAGTCCATAAGGACATATCCTGGAATAAAAGCAAAAATGCAGAAATAACTGGTTTTAGATATGTAAATTATGCATTTTTTTCTTTGGAAATGTCTTTTAATGTTTTAAATGTGTGTACTGCATTTTAGTGGCTAACTAGCTAATGCTTTATTGATGATTTATTGAAATATTCATGAAAAAATAATTCCTTCTTATATTTCATAGCTTAAGCACCTTCCATTTCATATTTAACATCATGGATTCAGAGCACTATATAAAACATATGCAGCATTGGATCATTTTAGTGACTCTGCTGTGAAGATATGTGTGATTCAGCACATCACTTAAGTTTGCTTATCTCATAAAATATGTTCTGTATATTTCACCTACTTATATAACTACAATTCATATATTTCTAAAACATATCTGTTTACTTACAACAAAATCATATACAAACATACATAATCATAAAGGCAGTTAAATTTTATAGTGAAAAAGTTGTAAAGTAATATTACATTTTCTGATAAAGAAAATGATACATAGTAAAAATAATAAAATAAATTATTTATAGAATTAAATAAATCTGCACATATATGCACAAACATACCTAATCACATTCCATCCTTTTCAGTGTATGTTCAGGGTACTCTGACGTTTTGGGAACTTAGGAATTTTCTTGGTTTCTGTTTTGCTGCTATAACAGAATACCATGGACTGGGTAATTTATAATGACAAATTTATTTTGTACAGTTCTGGTCACTGGGAAGTCCAAGGTTGAGAGGGCCACATCTTATAAGGGCCTTTTTGCTGCATCATACCACTGTGGAAGGGCAAGAGAGTGTGGAAGAGCAGGAGAGCAGTGGAGGGTCTAACTAGCTTTTATAACAAGCCCACTATTGAAATAACTAAGCCATTCCCTCAATAATGGAATTAATCATTCATAAGGGCAGAATACCCAAGACATAATCACCTGTTACGAGGCCTCACCCCCTACATTGTTGCACTGTGGATTAAGTTTTCAGCAGATGAATTTTGGGGGACACATTCAAACCACACCAGAAATCACATAGATCAGGGGTTATAAACTCAAATCCTACAAGGGTCAAACTAACAGCATCATTAAACAAAGATGTTTGGGTTCCATTTATAGTGTGTGACCTCTCCAAAGAGGGCAACTGTGACCTATGTCTTGCTGATTATTGTGGGGGAACATAGGATGAGTGTTCAAAAGGAGCCAGAAAGATATCTAGAATTTTATGTGAAAACTCATTATAGCATTGAAAATTAATTCAAACTAAAAAAAATGAAAACATAGTGGACCAAGCAAAATACAGTTACTTGCATGTCATATCCAGCCCAGAGCAGCCAGTTTATAACCTCTAGTTCTAGTACAAATCCTTTTATTATTTTATAGACAAAGGCATGACACTAAAAAAAAAAAGTGAAGTGATTTGTCTAAGGTGACAGCATATAAGTCCCTGAGCTGCTTCTAGAACCAGGTTTCCTGAATCTTGATCTTCAGTTTTTTCTGGTAAAGCTGATTTTTATTTTTTGTTCTTAGGGAATCATTCTTTAATATCCTTATTAAAAGGTATTTTTGGCTATAGAATGTAGAGGGTATTTTATCCGTAGAGAATATTTAATTTTAGTGCTATGTTTCTAAAAATCCTTTTATACCATTTCTTAAACCTCAAATTTCCCCTGAAAGCCAATCAAGCCACAGCCATCCCTATTCCTCTAACATCCCCCTACTCTGGTCTCCTGAAATTCTGAGTCTAGTGCATTTACCAATATTAGAGCAAATGATTCCTCTTAAGGGGAAATCATATAAAAAATCAGAAATCTGGTCATCTTTCTGCACCCTAAATGACGCTGGCTCTCGAGACATTATTTTTAATGGCACTTTTGGTGCTACCTAGCTCATTCAGCAAATGTGCACTCCAAGTAGGAAGGCTTCAGAACGTGGAGCTCTGGATTTTCTTGCACTTTCAGAATAATGAGGGATTTGCAATGTAATTTACATTCTAATATTTCTTATGTATAAGTCACATTCTCTAACCCAAGACAGTGCTTGCATTATAATTTTTTTCCTATCATTAATGCCGTGTCCCCTACTTTTGCTAATCATTTCAAAGGCACTCCATTCACAAGCATTTTTCACACATCCTGAAGAACAATTACAAAAAATATTTTAGCAAAATTAAATACCTTATTCTGAGTCTCTCTTCTTTAGCCTTCTTTTTTATCTTTCAACCTAATCTGTCTTTCTCTCTTCAGTAAGCCTTATCACATTGCTTTGATTAGGTCGTTCCTCTGCTCAGAAGCCTTCAGTGTTTCTCATTAGAGATTAGTGTCAAAATCCACAGTTCCCAAACTCTGAGCTGAAGCGCCCAGAGTACACTAATGAATTCAAAGGGATACCATGGAATTTGTGTAAAAATTGAACAAAGCACAGTGTACATCTCTGAGACATTGTCAAAGTGACTATCTCAAGTTGGTTCAGTTTTAATTAACATTTAATTATATTACATTTCTTTTAATGGCATCCCATCTTTTCAAAGGTGAGTTTTCAACAATTTCTGTGATAAAAGACTCAGAAAATAATGTGGGACATGAAATGACGGCGACGGTGTCCAATCTGATTGTAATACTTTTAATACTTGAGGAGTGCAATGTCCAACAGATGTACACATCTCATTAGTAAATGATCACGGTTGCTGAAAAGTGAAATAAAATACAATTTTTTTGGAGGTGTATTTACTTTTCAAATGATCACTAAGTTGTTAGGACATAAATATTTATGTTGTTTGAAACTACCTAATTAATAAATGAAGGCATTAGGAATTTCTTTTGGTCTAGGGATGCTTTGAAAAAATTATTGTGAAAAGAAAGATGTTATCAATCAAGAAAATTTGGGTATGTCTGGTCTAAGCCTTTTATCCTTGCATCCATTGACCTTTAGATATTGTTCCAATTCTTTTTAATTTTCCTAGACCATTTCCTGATTTCAGTTCTGTGTTATGTTTAGAATGGTAAGTTCACTCTCTCTCGATCATGGTTTATACAGCCAGCATTTTGAATATTTCCTCCCCAAACTGTACTTTGATTCATACACTTTCTATATAAGGCAGCATAATTTGTTGAGCTATTAATTTGTGTTTTGTTATCTCTGTTTCCCTCTCTTGTCCAAACAGGTTCTCAGGCATTTGTAGATCTTTGAATAAGGGGTCAGAGGAGAGTAGAAGTTTCTTCTAGTCAGAAAATAGAAGCTATTGGCATGGAAATTGTTTTCCTGATTTTGTTTTATTTAGAAGGCCAAAGTCCTTGAGAAATTTGTTTGGGGTTGGAGGAGAACAAGAGGGGTCTATGTTGGGGTTGGGGAAATAAGAGAAAAGTAGAATGCTTTAGTTTCCTAGGGCTACTGCAACAAATTAACACAAATGTGGTGGCTTGAAGCAACAGAAATTTATTTATTTTCCAACAGTTCTGGAGACTGAAAACCTCAAATCAAAGCAAGAGCAGGGTTGGTTTCTTCTGGAGGCTTTGAGGGAAGATTTGTTTCAAGCCTCTCTCCGAGCTTCCAGTGGTAGTGGGCAGTCCTTGGCTTGTAGATACATCACTCCAATCTCTGCCTCTGTCTTCACGTTGTCTCCTCTCTGTGTTCTCTCTTCTTGTCAGGACACTTGTGTTAGATTTAGGACACACCCTAAATTCAGGATGATCTCACTTTGAAATAATTAATTATACCTGCAAAGACCCTATTTCCAAATAAAGTCTCATTCTGAGGTTCTGGGTGGGCATGAACTTGTGGGAGCCCTACTCAACCTACTATGGAGACTGGGTGGAGGGAGATTGGCAGGTGAAGTGTGGGTGGCAAAGTGGATAAAGGGAATGAAAGGCTTCCTATTTCACCAAGCAGGAAAGAATTTAGTACCAGGGCTCTAGCAAAAACTAAGATTCTTCTGTCCAAACCTGACACAGAAACAGTCGTCATCTGCCTTCAATGGACCCACATAGGCTTGGACCACATGTGATTTGAATAAAGTAACTTCACAATCTTTGCACATCCAAGTGTTTGAAACATAGTATGTCACTGGAACCACACTTATTCCTCCCATCCTCCACGTCTGAGCTCAGATTCCGTTTCTCTGTAAAAACTTAGGCTAACGTTATTCCTTTCTTTGGTGTATTGATTATGACTTTTTTTGATAATTAATCTTGTGTTGCCTCATCCCATTTTTCCTTCTCAAAGTATTTGTATTTTAAGTTGGTGAAGCTAATTATCATCTCATGTCTATTTTGTTTCCCTGCCACGTTAGATTTTAGCTACTTTTGGGAAGGTACTATATTTTATATATCTTGGTAGCCATCGCCATTCTTATCACCAGGTACTTGATAGAAAATGGATTTAATTTAATTTATTGCTTTTAATTTTTTACTGGTGTTCATACCTCTCCCTATTTCTTCATTGATATATTTTAAATATATTTTTTATATTTTTTAAAACATGGTATTTTCCAAGATAAACAGTTTGGGTTTTTATAAGACGGTGTTCAGATGACAATATTCTTTATGATTTAGATCAACATTCCAAGATAAATAGCAAATGAAAAAGAGGTTTTCTTTTCTAAGTTTCTTGGCATCCCAGGTGCACAAGAATTGCTTCTTGTTGTGCTGAACAGTGCTGTTAGCCAGCCTTGGCAGTTTTGAATTTCACAATTTATTTTGCTTTCTCAGAAGAATATGGCAGTGAGCTCAGAGAAAGTGGGAAATGAATTTTAATCTGATATAGAAACAAATCCTCTGGGGCTCCGTCAGTATTCTTATGGGAATGCTCTGCTCCATTTAGTTTCCGTTCCTTGGTGTATAACTTTTATATTATACCATACCTGAAAATAATACAAAACTTAGGAAAAAGTTTAATCTCAGAAACCTTCAGTTATTTTCAAAGAAAATTAGTTTTCCATGTCTAGGACCAAGGAACATGTTCGTTGTTCTCTGTTTGACTAGAAAGAGTGACAGACGTAAGTATTATACAAAGTGAGAACATCTGATGTCAATGACACTTTTCTTCAGGTCCAGAATGTTCTATGCCCAGAGTGGATTTGAACAGCTTCCAGAAAATCTGTAAGCCATGTTCTGTGAGCTGACTGTCAGATTTCAGATCTAGCCTTCTCTTTGACCTGACAAAGATATTTCTTGTTACTTCTTAAGGGGCAGAACCTTTATTGAATACCTATTATTTTAGTTAAATATATTTACCCTAAATGGCTATTATTAAAAATATCTGTAACCAACTAATAAAGAATTATCTTATATTTCCTTGCCAAATTATATATTATTTGCCACAAATATAAGTATTTTTTTCTTGTAATTCTAATTTAAAAGTAATTTTTCCTTAAATTGGAAAAGTAAATCTATTTCTATGTAATTTACTGATTTTTTTTGGATATAACAATCTCTCTTAACTTCTGCTCTTCAATATGAAGTCTATACACCTGAATCCTTTAACTTCTAACTTTAGAATGAACAGTTCCTCAGTTTTGAATTGGTAGCCAACATTCAATATTTGATAATTTTACATGAAATTTGTCTTCTCTTTATAAGTTGGGAGTCCCAAAAATTAATGGTCTACATTCCCAGAAATAGAAATCTCACAGAGCTCACCTTTTAGGACAGGTTCTGAAATAAATTACATATTTAGTCCAATTCTCTAGGTCTTTTCCCTGGCCTAGAGCAGGTAAGACTTTTTCTTGTTCCTAAGTACAGCTGTGCCTTGAGAACCCTGGTATTATCAAGTGCTTTCTGCCTTAATAATCTAAGTGACATCTTAATAATTTCCTGGTCCTTTAGTTTCTTTGTTTGTACTCCCATAACACCACACATTGGCCACCAAGCTCCACTGCTGTCTGCTTGGAGCTCTGGTTCCTTGCACTCCTGAGCTCTGTTTGTGGCCTTTTGTGGACAGCCCTCCTCCCCCACCCAGCTGCATTCTGCCTCCTAATGATTTTTTAGACACTCTCCAGAGACTGGTTGTGAGGAAGTCTCTAGATTAAAAACAAAATAACCATCATGAATAAAAATGACTGGAATTGTTAAGAAATAACTTGGTATTTGAGCAGGTAGAAGGCCCTTAGAGCTGAGGGTCTTACTCCATGGCCGGGTGGAATAAGTTTGCTACGTGGGGAAACATACCTCTTACTCCGGATGGCAGAGATGACAGATTTAAATGGCCTTTAAAAAATATTGCTTTCCCAAACTCACAGAAAACATTTGTCAAACTGCTATTGCTCTTACTCTGGTAAACTAGGAAAAAAAAAAAAAAGCAAATAATTTGCATATTAGAAAGATTATAAATCAATGGGTAGCAAAAAATTCCATATAGTATATATTTATCTCTTGGCTGCTACCCAGCATTCATTCCCATTTCCAATTGAAACCTGATTTTTCTTGGGAAAATTCAAATTTCTCTTACTCTAAGTACCACCCTTCACACTTTTCCACTACAGTTCATAGAAAAAAAAAATTGCATCACTCCCCACCAATCACATATACATTTATGTAAAACTTAGCAAGCTTCAGTGAAAAAGGTTGTTAATGTTTATGCATTCTGATATTTCTGTCTCTGTGCTGTACTGGTCTATTTTTTTCTTTGTCTTTACATTAGTCTATTCTTTAAAAAAGTTATTGCTTGCAGCCCATTGTCTTGAGTATATGGCCCACAAATCGTCCATCATCTATAGCTTGGGAAATATTCATCTAAATCCACACGGGTTGAATGTGGTTGAGCTGACCTCAGGAATGGTCACATTACTCTCAGTAGAGAACTGCTAGGGGATGGGGAAATAACCCAGGCAGAGCTAATGAGGTGGAAGAAAATTTTGCTGGGGAACGAGGACATGGATTTCATACACTCCACAGGCACTTTGCTACCATGAAGTTGAGTCACTGCGGGGACTGGGTGGAGCCCAGGGCTGAGGCTTCCACCACAGGGGCATAGCAGAGACTTGGGAGGAAACGGATCCTGGGTGTATTGTTAAGTGTCAAGTCACTTTATCACTCGTCATTCTAGACAGTTCAGTTTTTGTAAGCCAAAAACTTTCCTACATTGTTAGGTAATCTCACAGGGTAAAAATTTGAAATTTTACTTTATAATTTTATTTATCACTTTCTGTTTGTAGGAAAGACATGATGTTTGAAGGATCTGAGTTGTGGTTGGGAATTATTCACAGGAGGTGGGATGAAATGCTCCATTTCAATTCATTGCTTGCTTCAGTGAATTCCTGATGAAAATGCACATCTGTGACATGCACAGCTTAGACTCTTGAGGAAGATCACATTCTCAAATGACTCATTTCTAGGAGTGAGAGCTTTGTTCTGAGGACAGAGGTCATTTCTTTTTGGAGTGAAGGTGATGCTACACTGAACATTCACCACGGACAGTTCAAGAGGATTATCTGTGAACTTCTAAACTAATGGGAGTAACTGAGGGAAAGGATGTGATCTTTCCGCCCCAGGAAGGGGAGTCATCAGTGACAAGGAGGGACACAAATCCATCACCATGATAAGACTTTTGAAAGGATTACAGATCTATGTGGGATACCCTACGGAATGAGTGGTTTGTGTCCCTTTAAGGTTTGGGAGACTAGGAAATTACAAAAGAGAAGGATGTGTTGCTTTGTGTGGATAGAAAACTAAACCTGAATGTTAGTTGATGTTCCACGTTTGTTGACAATTGAAATACAATTGTATTTTACAATTGTATTTTACAATTGTATTTTAATTGTAAAATAATTGTGGGATACCACCAGAAGGAATAGCAGAGTATAAGCAAGAGTTGCCATTCCAAAAAGAGACTTGGTGAAAACACAATCACTGAATGGTGAGATGATTCAGCTCTATGTTACCTTTTGGATTTGTGCCTCTTGACACAAAATTGCTAGTAGATTAAAGTTTACTCAGCAGATTCTTCCTTGGAGAAATTGTATAGCTCCCAAGGAAAGACATATGGTTACTGACATTTGGGGATATCTCAACAAATTGGCAGGATTCCACTAAACAAAATGTACCCTTTCATGCAGAACTTCCAATCTGCCCATTAGTTTCTTTTAAATATGAACAAACCAAAAATAATCATTAAACATTTTTGAGAAGCCTCCAAGATAAAATACTGGAACCAAAAGCAAATCAATGGAAAATAGAATTAAAAGAAAACAGAGGCAATGCAAGGGGCAGAAGAAAACTTGAAAGGAGACAGTACTTATCCATGAAAAAACCCACATAGGGACAATCAGCGCATGCATATATATAAGTGCATAACTAATAAAAATATATTTTTAAGAAGATAAATTCAAAGAAATCTCTCAGAAAGTAGCCTAAAATACAAAGAGATCTAATGGCATGGGTAAAAGATAAGAAAGTTAGAGTATGAATCCAAAGATACTTAATAAAAAATTATTAGGAGTACTAGAAAAAGAAAGCTGAGTTAAAAGAGAAATCTATTTAAGAAATAATTCAAAGACTTAAAAACATTTAGTTTTTTAAATTCAAAGGGTTCACCAGTCCTGCCATGCCATCTCATCATATAATTTTATGGATTTGTCAACATTGCTAATTAATTTAACAAAAATTTATAGAGTGCTCACTATGTGCCAAGCCCTCTACTGATTAGAGGGGAAAGTGTGGAAGCACAGTTGGTGGGAGCCTGTCCTCATAGAGCTTACGCTTTACTGAGGCAGAGGGGCGGGAATAAGTCATCTCACTAAAAACTGTGAAACTGAGTTTATAGCACATGCTGTACATGGCACCAAGAGAGACTTTTCTAGGGGCTTGGATATAGTAAGAAAGATAGGGAAAAGTTTCTTTGAGGAAATAATGTTTGAGCTATGCTATGAAGGAAGAGTAAGCACGATCTAACCAAAGAGAGCAGGGGCCAGTGGTCCAGGTGAGGAGGAGGGCCCAGTGGGATGAGGCTGTGCCTGAAGGGCATCAGTGTGGATGAAATGGGGAGAACAATTGGGAGCACTGGGTGGGAGCAGGTTGGAGACCAGAGGCCAGTAAGGTACTGACCAGGAAGAACCTTGGAGGTCACTTTAGAGTTTTGCCTTTTTCCTATGGGCACATAATTAGAGGCCATTGAAAGGTTTAAAGAGAGATGGAGAGGGAGTAAGATTTCTGTTACAATGATGGCCATTCTGCCTGCAGTGCGGAGGCTGGGTGGGAGAGTTAGGTGTCAGTAGTGTTCTTAGGGGGCTTTCGCAGTTGCCATGCAAGGGATGATGGTAGCTCAGTCAAGTGTACTAATGATGAGGATGAAGAGAAGTGGAAGGTTTTGAGAAATACTAAGTGGGTTAAATCAACACGATTTTGTGAAAAATTACATCAAGGATTGATTCTCTGAAAATTCTATGGAAAACCAAATTGGCTAGTCAGAGCAAAAATGAAGAACATTTGAAATGCCAAAGCAAATATATATACATGTAACAAAAGTGTTAACAAATTTATCAGTGAGTGTTAGGTATAATTCTATGCAGTAATTTTGAAGACGGAAGAATAATTTTCTCAGAAATTAAAATTACCATTTCTTTTCATGGTTTAATGATGTCCTGGATCTCCAACCTGAATATAAAAGAATGAAACCCTGGTGGCTTCTGTGAAGTGGACTGAGAGAATTTGGGTATAATAGGATAGCATTCTATGACGTCTGGAAATGTTCTACTCAGCTCTATGGTGGTCCTTTTAAAGATAACCTTGATGATCCTTTTATGACCCATTTTGGCTCTCTGCCTTGGCGAATGACAAGCTTGGTTTTCCTGTGCAGAGACACTGGGCAGATGAGCTGTCACCTCAGCAGCAACCTCTCCAGCATATATTTCTCATCTATTTTTCTGACATTTCAGTAGGACTGTAGGGAAAGGGAAAATAATGTATATTTTATTCTATCATATTAAATCAGGACCAATAGTGGATATTTTTCTGAACACATCCTTTCACTTAAAATTCATTATTGCCATAATTTTTGAAAATTAATATAATCTTTGAATTAAATTCAAAGAAAAAACATTTTTCTTACACATATCTCCCCCCTCTCTGTCTTAATATTCTCATTTATGATCAAGTTTATTTAGACATTAGGAACATTACTATTACTTGTTGGTGCTCATATTATGTCTGTATAATTTAGAACCATACTTGTGGAATCAGGATCATAATTTAAAGAATTTAAAACAGCGCTATGGGTTTCTGTTTTTAAAGCTTGGGCAGAAATGAACTCCAAATAGAGCAGGAAGAAAAGATTCTGCTTCAGACAACTTCAAGGAATTTAGGAGTCAAAAAACTGTAACAATAATTATGTAACGAGTTATATTTTTTATAAATTACACAGTCTGTGGTTGTACAAACCAATGCTGTGGTATGCTTACTTGTCACTAAAATATTAACAGTAGCATACTGTTTGTATGGTTTGGTTGAATGGTTCTGACACAGCTATACTTAAAATCCCCTAGTGGCCTGATCAGAACTCAGATCTGGGGACCAGACTAATAAGAGAGGAATTAAAACATCCATACTATGCTACTAATTTGCTATTTGCATTAGAATAAACTATGTTATAATGTATTCTGTATCTTAAAATATAACTATATTAGGACCTTAGAAACTTTTATACGAAATTATTTTATTTTTTCTGAATGGTCTCTTACCTTTCTTTTGCCTGGAAAATTATACCCGTGTGTCCCTAGAAGAGTCTTGCATGACATAGAGTGAAATAGAAACCTTGTACCTTTCTATCACATTAATTTTGCCTCCTGAAATGGCCCTCAAATCAGTCTACATATCCCCCTGTCTGATGGATCCATTCTAGGCCAAACACCATCATTTGGCTCTTACACTAGTGAAATGGCCTCCTAATTGCTCTTCTTGAATCCATTTTTCTCTATCAAGCAATTCTTCAGGAATTAACTAGAGTGACTCTTTAAAATGAAAATTCTATTATGGCACTCCTAGCTTATCATTTCTTAATGACTTCCCCATGGTCTTGAGATATAGTCCAAAATCCTTAGCATCTGCTATTAAATTGCAAATGATCTAGTCCCTAAATACCCTTAACATTTCCTTATCATAGTTTATGATTATATATTATTTGCATAACTTTTTTTCTTGCTTTATGTGTTCTCCATTTGTTATAATTTTGTCATTGGTTTAACTTTACATATGCATAATAATATCTCACAACACATTGTTACTATTTTAATTTTAGACAAATATTTTTAAAGAGGTTAAAAATCAGATAAAATGGCTTTGAATATTTACTTTCATTTTTACCTTTTCTGCAACTCTTTATTTCATTATGTAAATAAAATTTTCAATCTGGTATCACACTTGTTACTTAAAGAACTTCCTTTAACATTTCTTGTGCAAAGCTTCTGGCAATACATTTTATCCAGCTTTGACTGTCTCAAAGTCTGTATTTTGCTTTTATTTTTGAGGACTGTAACCCAGGAGCATAGATTCAGGCTCCCACTTTTATTTCTGTAAGAAATTTTTGTTGAGTAAAGGCTTCTGTTTTGACCGTTTTTTCTTTCAGTACTTCATTTTTGACTAGTATTACATTATTTCTGCCAAGAAGTCTGTTGAATACCTTTTTTTTGTTTACTTGTAGGTCATGTTTCTTTTTTATTTGGTTGTCTTCAGGATTTTCTTTTTACCTTTGTTTTTTCACAGTTTGACTATGATGTGTCTAATTTAAAATATACGTATCTTGTTTGGATTTCTTTGTGCTTCTTAGATCTGTGGTTGGTTTGTTGTCTTTTGTTACTTTTTGAAAATTCTCAGCCATTATCTCTTCAAGTATTTCTCTTGCCCCATTCTATTTGCTTCTTCTAGAACCTAAGGTGCATGCGTTAGATCATTTATGATTGTCTTATAACTCTTGGATACTCTCTTCTGACTTTGTACTTCTTTTTTCTTTATATTTGGGTAAATTCTATTGGTCAGTCTGCCTTCAGTTTTACTGATTCTTTCTTCAGCTTTGTCCAATCTGCTAACAAGCTCATCCAAAGACTTCTTCACCTCTAAAATCATGCTTTTATTTTAATTTGACTGTCATTGTTTCCATCTTTCTGCTAAATTTCCCCATTTATCTTCTGTGTGTTGCCACCTTTACCATTAGAGGTTTTAATATAATAAGTACAGTTATTTTAAAGACACTAACTATTCTTTCCAATATTTTCGTCATTTCTGGATATTTTTTTCTTAAATATTTTATCTCTCGATTTTTAAAGATTCTTTTTAAAATGTACATAAAACTATTTCTGTCTGAAATGCTCATATATTCTCCTCTCTGGTCATTAGTTTTGAGACTTGAGTCATTCTATCAGTAGTTGAAATGGGTTTAGTGCCTAAAAGACTCAGAGTCCTCTAAACATAGACTTCTGCTAGCTCATTCTTAGTGTTGGATTTGGAGTGCTGGGTGGATTTTTTTCATGTTTCTGGCCCACTCTCCACTTTGAACAATCCATGCACACATGTCCCACCATGGGGGTTCTCTACCTGTCCTGGTTCAGCTTCAGTCTCAGGCAGGTCCTGAGTACTTGGGATTCAGGTATATGATTTCTCATCAATCCTCTCCTTCCTTCTTATGAGAGGCAAACTCTTCCTTCTATCAGTGCCTGTGTGTATGTGTGTTGCATATGGGGCACGTCTTGGATGGGAGAGTGTCTCACTGTCCCCCTAGTGGCAGCAGATTTCTACTTTCCATCAGTGCAGGGTCCTAGGCCTGAGCACATTCCCAGCCCCTCTTCTAGGAGCATATGGCTATTCTTTCTACTCTCCACCCCGCCCTCCAGCTCTGTCCATGAGCGATTTTATCTTTGCCTGGCCCCTGAGGGTGGGATGTTTTACTATTCCTCTCTCAGCAGCTTTAGGCTTTTGCTTCGTATGAGAGAAGCGTCTAGGAATTAGATGAGAGTCTGTACCTGTATGTCGTGGAGGAGTCTGTCTTCTCCCTGCCCAAGTCTTTCCACAGCGCCCAGTGGAGGCCCATGGAGAAGAAATCATGCGTGATTGTGAACTATCCTTGTCTGTGTTACAGTTTGAACAGTTTCTTCTTACCAACTTTCATGTCATTCATCTTTTCCATCCATATGTATCCATGATGATACAGTTCACGGAACCCCTCTCTCCCTGGAGGTGCAAGGGAACAAGATGTGTTTCCTCTTTAACTTCAGAAAGTCATTTTACATTGAGGTAGATTCTACATCGGCCACAAAGGGATTTTAAGGAAACACAATTAACCACAAGATAAAACCCCAAGTCTTTCTGTCATAGTACCTAGAAAAACAAGGAAGCAAACAAACAAACAAATATGTTCATATAACAGTAAGATGAGGCAATATGATGGTTTAGGACTCTTCTACATCAGTAAATAACTAGCAGTCATTTTGGTAATCTTAGAAATTATAGGAAATTATAAGATATTTCTGGCATTTCATAATTATCTAAGGAGTTCCTATCAATAATCAGTTTTTAAATTTCTATGTACAGTTAGGAAGCCTCTGCCCCTTAGCTTGCTTGGAAAGTATTGTAGAATTTAGTTCATAAAATAAAAAATGTTCAACTGTCTCCATTTTCTGTTTCTTTTACTCATTTCTTTCTTTAAACTACAACAACAGCGGTCATTTATTGAGGACTTAGGAAGTGTCCTGACATTTACTTTAACACATTTACTTCATGATGATTTTTGGAGGCAGGTGATACTATCATCCCTTTACAGGTGAGGCAATAGGTCATGACTTGTCCAATGTCATATAATCACTGAGGGGCAGGGCTGAGATTTTTTGACTAAGCTGTCCAACTCTGGAGTACTTAACCACAACAACAAAGTCTTTCATTTGTCATTAATTTTGTGGCAGTTTTATTTTTTTCAAATAAATAAAAGCAGGGACAAGATGGGAATTCAAACTAAAATACTATTTTCTTAGTGCCTTCTCATAGAAAAAGCAAACAAAATATATTTTCCTTATACTCTGATTTTCTACCTTAATGAGATTTTATGTTATATATTTTACTTCAAAACTTTCTTAGAAGTGAATGTCTCTTCTCAGTATATGAGAAATTTTGACATTGGTCTTGGCTATGACTTTTTGACTATGACTCCAAAAAGCACAGGCAACAAAAACAAAAATAAACAAGTGGGACTACATTTGAAGCTCCAGTGGAAAGCGTGGCTATAGGGGCTGTTGGTGCCCCTGCTTACCCAGTCGTAGCTGTGGCTCCCTTACCTGGCAGCCCCTCTGAGATCTGCTGAGCTCTCCTGCAACAGCAGGGAGGAAGGGAGGAGCAAGAGCAGAATTGCAGCTGCTCTTCTCCTACTCAAGCTCCTAATACAGGTTGCATTTGACACAACTCAAACAGCCTTTTCCCCTAGGAAGTGCCCATAGTTTTCTCTTATTTCTCTCTCTATTTCATCCTGGGTTGCTTTTAAGGGAGAAAGGTAGCAGCATGTTTTAATTCACACCTTTAATGAACCTGAAAGTATTTTATTTTTCCTTAAGATTTAAAATGTTAGGATATGGGGGGAGCAAGGCATATAGGGAGGAAGGAAGGAAGAGAGAAGAGGGACTAGGAGGGTTATGATTACCCCCACCCCCACACAGGGTGGGGAGGGAGAGAGAGGAGAGGAGGGGGGCTGGAGGGAGAGAGAGAGAGAGAGAGAGGCATTACGACTTGTTCATGGCATTAAGTCACTAGAAAACAGCAGTATTAAAACTGCTTCACAGGACATCCTGGTGAATGTGAGACAATAAACCTTGTTTTTTCACCTGTTGGTTTGGGTTGAGTTTCTGGGCCTTGCAATTGAAAGAGCTTTGGTTAACAGATAAAATTTTCTGTATAGGTGGGGGTTACTGAGCAAGTTTGATAATTTTCAAATCACAGGCACTTAAGCAACTCTCTACTTTGCCTATGTAAGAGGCGGTTCAAGCCCAGGAACAAAATAAGAGATTATGAAAATGATTTGAAAAATACCTGTTACATAACTCTAAGGACATTTAAAAATACTGAGCAAATAATATTAATAATTGATGCTCCAAATTTGAAAGGCTGTATTTCATTATTATATCTGTATTAGCATAGGAAACTGATGGTAGTAATATTTGTGTCTTGGTAGAGTGTTGTTATTATTATGTAAAATTATTTTTTAAAGATGCTGGAATAAAAGTTCAGAAAATACCACTGCATTTTAGTTTTCTAAATAAAGGAAACAATATTATAGTGTTTTAGACATAAATGTTAACTTCAGAAGCAGTTGATTATGTCATCTTGTCCTATTATTTCACAAAGTGTTTTTAGACATGCCAGACAAGTGTCCTGGCAAAAAAAGTGTATTTTTATCTTTTTGTTAAAGTATTCAGTTTGCATAAAATTCTGTCATTTGAATGAGATTGTACTTGTTTCTTAAAGAACAATATGGCCATTGTTTTTAGAATTGTGTTAGAACTTGCACAGTCATCCCACTTACTATGTAATTTATGTGAAAGAATCAGCTTTCTAAATATATTTTAAAAACAGTGACACTATTTTCAACCCTTTGTAACTCATTTTTTTTTGTGATTTAAAAAAAGACTTTTTAAGCTCCATTTCTTTGCACTATTTATAAGAGAAGAATTTGCAGAATGTTTTTGCCAAGTTCTCTTGTGCCCTAAATTTGTTTCAGCATTGGAGAAGTTCAGCATTTTTCTATTTCTAAAGATAAGTGGGGACAATAATGCTATCCTATAAGTTTTCTACCCATTGATCATAACTCTGTCTAGCACATATTTGTTAAGATGATCTTTTGCTGACATGGAATCTTAAAATTTCTTTTGTATTTTCAGAGTTTCTTCTTTTTAACTTTCTATATCATATATTAACTAGAAAACAATACTTAGCAAATATTCATTCACTCATCAAATATTTTTTAACAAATACTACATGCAAGGCATTGTTCTGAACACTGGAGATATAATAGTGAAAAATAGGCAAAATTTTGTGCCTGAAATGGAGCCTACATCTGGTGGAGTGAGACAGACAATGCACAAAAAAATCAGCAAAACAGATCGAATGTCATTTATCATAAGTGCTATGGAGAAAAAAGAAGGAAAAGAGACAGAGAATGACAGAGTAGGAGCTGGAAATTGGGGAGCTGCAATTTAAATAGAATGATCAGGAGAACATAAACTGGCTGTTATACACATGATCCCCAAATAACTGTGTCATTTAATCAGTTCCAATGTTTGTACATCATGTGCAAAAACAAATCTATACACAAACATCTTTTAAATTAAATTGACTATAACAATTACCACCAATAATGAAAACAGTGTACTCCCCAGGTGCTTGGAGTCTATCTGGTCACTGTGAACATGATAAAAATGAATATTCTTGTGTGTCGAACTTCTGTGTGTTTAAAATAAAAGGAACAAAAAAAGAATGTTCTTTCATAAGACAAAGGGTATTCTATGCTGTAAAGGATTAAAAAGATAATAGCAAAAATGGTAGAAAAGCTTACTGAATCCAAAGCAAACAAGATTCAAATGGGATGTGGGTCACATCAGTGAGTGTGGATGCTGACACAAACCACAAGTCTCAGTGATGGACATGGGAGATGGTCCCCACTGCCATGTTGCTGATGCTGGTGGGATCCAGGTGTTCTCTGGCAGCCACTACAAATTCCTCCACTCCCACCTGTGGTAGAACTTGACATTGGCTCTAGGCTCTAGGCCTGTGGAAGTATGGAGCTTTTCTTCCAGCTTCTGCAAAGTACTTCCCTATGTGTCTCTTTGCCTCATTCCACCTCACTCAGGGCCTGCCTGCCTTGGCACCCCATGTCAATATGAGTGCTACCCTTTGTGTCCTTTGAGAACAAGCTGTTAACTTCAAGCATGTTGTCAGTTTAGCAACCTACACAAAAGTGTGTGTGTGTGTGTGTGGTATCTCATTTTGAAGCTTATGGTCTTTAATCATCTCATGGAGCCACTTGCCACACCTTCTCTGTCACCTTCCTTCCCTGGAACAACAAATGCTTCCCCTGTCTCAGGCAGTCTGCCTACATGTAGGTGCCCCAAGGTCTAATCTTCTATCCCAAAGGGTCAGCGAAGGAACACCATGCTTTCCCTGAAAGCAATTCTAGAGAAATGTGTTTCTCGCCCCTGCCTTCTTGAACCCTATTTCCCTGTTTCCCACAACTGCTCCACTAAACAGGCTGCCCATGACATGGGTCTGTCCGAGGAAAACTGCCCCATCCCCAGCCCCTGCCGAAGGAGGAGGTCACCTAGGTGATTCCAGAGACAGAGGGACCGTGGTCTGTGCCCGTGACTCCTCCGTTCCTCACAGACAGCTGCCCCGACCAGGGCGGGCGCGGACCAGCCTGTGGGGCTCCCCCGTAAGGTGACTCGACAAGTGGAAACTATACCCCAACAAGTCCTAGCTGAGCAAGTTAGACTCTTCCTCTTGTGAATTTCAACAGGAAATACGGGCCACGACATTATTAGGTAGCAGAAGCAGAAGTTGAAAAAGGCATTCAGAAAAGTGGGACAGGAAGCCATGAGAAAACACGCTGCAGTAATGGGTGATGCCGTTGACAGTCTGCGAGGGAGCAAAAGCAGACAGAGAAGAGCTCAGTACCTCACAGGCAGAGAAGTGACAAACTCCTGCCTCCCTGCAGGTAACCGCAGAACTTACTGGATCTCCGGAATTCTGCCTGAGTCTCCACTTCCCAGAATGCACTTCGCGCTCTGTGACGTTTTTTTTTTATGCTCCAGGATTCTCGCGAGACCCCCGCGGTCCGCACGTGAACGGTGCCCTTTACCTCTCAGTACTGAGGTAAATCCTGCAGGGACCCGAAGTGTGCGTCTGCGTATCAGTTTTGCCATGTAAGATTCTCTCTTTTACCCCTAAGCAACATAAATTTATTCACAATTTAGTTCTTCACAATTCTATTCTTGGGCGAGTCTCCCTTTACTCTCAGCACAGACATAAACTCTTACTCTTTTTAGAGTTTTTCACGTGCACTCACAATTTATGTTTTATGTGCTAAAGCAAATCCTCACTGGTTGCCATTAAACATTTGAACCCTCTCCACCTTCCCTCACCCCTCTCTGCCTCCCATTTTTGTTTTAAAATGGAGAATCCCCACATTTCACGATGTCTGAGGAGAACTTGTTCTCTCTCTCTCTCTCTCTCTCTCTCTTTCTCTCTCTCTCTGTCTCAGATAAGTTTATATAACTTCTACAAAACTACAGCTGTCATGAGATTTATAAATAAGATTTGGGAATTGCTGCAATGACTCACTGTACTAAATGATATGCAGAACATGTTAACAAGATGTGTGTGAAGGGATTTACATATTCATTTCCAAAAACCTTTCTGATGACATTGTCCCTCAGCCAACGGTTTTCGAAAATTCTTAAACAGTTGAACCATGTTTTCCAAATGTGAAATCCCAATACAGAGTGGAGCTGCTCTGTTGGGAACAGGAACGGAAAGCTCAAAGACTCCCTGTCGCAGTACCTTATCCTGACAAATGCCTGGTGGCGGGTATTTGAGGCACAATGTTGGAGCTTCACAGTTCTTTGGGGTACAGTTTGTAAACCATTTCCCTACATTTTGAGAGCTGCAAACAGGCTAAGTGGTAGCGGTGAACCGTTGACTGCTACTCAGGGTCAAATGTCTTCACAGCCTTGGGAAGCCCTTAGTCATACTCTTACATTCTCAAAGGGAAAGGGAGTTCCCCCTTGCCCACCCCTTATTTTCTATATCTGTTCTGATAAGACCATTCTCACAGCTTTATTCATGGTTCCAAATGATCTTTGATTTTCTTCTCAAGAAAGTGTAGTAACTGTTTTCTGACAGATATCTGTGATTTTCCCCAGAGCACACTGTTTAACCAGTCCCCACACACCTCCATGCCATCAGAGCTGGGATATGTACCCCATGAGCAGTGGCACTGAGTCGCTGGTTTCTGTGCCATCAGACACCACAGGTGTGGCCCGGAAGACAATGAAAGGAGGTGGCTCAGGTGTTGTCCAGACTCTGGATTTCAGTCAGTAGTGGCTAAATCTCTGACTTACATGAGAAAAGACACAGGATCAGTACAGGTAGAAATGCCCTGGCAGGGGATTGCTGTAGTATCTAGTGGGACAAGCCACGGGACAGACCAAGTGCTTTGTCATCACAGGACTGCAGTGCTTTGGAGTCTGACCTGTATCTCCGCATGACCCCTTCCTTTATTTTCCCGCTCACACATACTCTCCCCTCTCTTTCTTGTTATTTAAGCGTAATATAAATATCCCTTTCTCAATTTAAGTAGGTGGCATTTAGAGGTCTGTACCTGGGTGCAACTGCAAGTTCCCATTACAGCCTTCATTCTTGATCATTCCTGCTCTGTCTCCGTGTGAGGTGACAGTGCAGGTAGCAAGGCCAGGTACTGGGGCAGCTGGTGGGGGATCCTCTGGCTATGAGTGGCAGTGTCGAGTTTCCCCTTTATGGGTGATTTGGGAGAACAAACAGAAATTATCTGTGTGACTGCTTGAGTGTTGAGGAGGTATTAGAGGACATGTTACAGGATAAGATTATATCAGGGATATATTTATCTTGTCAGAAAAGGAACTTGGGGTGCTATCATGGAGTTATATAGTTTACTATGGAAGCAGAGTGAAATAACATCAGATTGAAGTAGAATATATACATGTATACACACACAAGTATCTTAGTCCAACAATTGGCTTATGGTGATCACTCAATAAATGGTGGTATTGTGATTATTATTATTATTATTATTATTAACTCTTTTTAAGTGTAACATCAACCTGTATTTGATTAGGTTGATGAACAATTGACATATGTTAATTGTTAACAGTATGGAATTAAATATTCTTGAGGACTACTTTTCTTAGAGCATATCACCAGCATAGTTTTCCTAGTTCATATTGTTCTGCCTTGTATCATAATAGATTTCCAAAAAAGTTTGCAGAGTGACAGAATGAATTGCTAACCTTGGCATATTGCTTTCTAAGTGTGTATTCTGACATGTTCATGAATCTATACAACTATCACCATGAATGGAAAAGGAAAACAGAACAGCTTATTCTGACTAGTGTCAGGTTAACTGAAGTTTGGATTTGCTTGTGCCCTAAGTTTTAAGGCTAATTTTCATTTTCTCAGACCTTGTGCTTATGGAGGGAACTTCAACCTTGTTACAGGAAACATCATGAGAGGAGTTACAGATATTCCAGTCTGCATATATTAAGCATTGCCAGCCACTTGAGGGTGGCTCTTTGCAAATGCAAAGTTGCTGGAACATAGAGTTTGCACCATGTGCAAAGCATTGTGCCTCTGCCTGAACTTTCTTTGCTTTTTAACAGTTTGAAGCCAATAGCTTAGAACACATTTGCTGTTAAAGCTGGGCTTACACTTCAATGAAAGGGGAAAATTTATCAGATGATAAACTTTTATAGTTCCTGTTCATGGTGTGTGGTTGGCAGAGAAATAATTAAAATCTACAGCACATTCTTTTTTCTCAATCTATTTTCTTTTAACCCAAGGCCACCTAAATGCCCAACTAAATCAGTCAGCTGTGGAGGTAAAACATTTTTTTCCTGCATTACAGATATTCTTGTACTTTCTTGGGAATGTTACAGAATATTTTCGCAGAGCATCTTCCTATTCCTGATGCTGGTGTTTCAGGGCCCCGTGGCTTTTGTATGAACAAAAGCCAGACGTGAGACTTTACAAAGCAGAGAACAATCAGAAAAACCATATCCTGTTGAGTTTTGCCTTGTGGTTATGAGGATAAAATAAGAGACAGGTGTACAAGTAACTGTTTTTCAAACTGTACTAAGAGAGAGAACTTCTCGCGAGACCCCCGCGGTCCGCACGTGAACGGTGCCCTTTACCTCTCAGTACTGAGGTAAATCCTGCAGGACTCGAAGTGTGCGTCTGCGTATCAGTTTTGCCTGTTAAGATCTCTCTTTTACCCCTAAGCAACATAAATTTATTCACAATTTAGTTCTTCACAATTCTATTCTTGGCGAGTCTCCCTTTACCTCAGCACAGACATAAACTCTTACTCTTTTTGAGTTTTTCACGTGCACTCACAATTTATGTTTATGTGCTAAGAAAATCCTCACTGGTTGCCATTAAACATTTGAACCCTCTCCACTTCCCTCACCCCTCTCTGCTCCCATTTTGTTAAAATGGAGAATCCCCACATCACGATGTCTGAGGAGAACTTGTTCTCTCTCTCTCTCTCTCTCTCTCTCTCTCTCTCTCTGTCTCAGATAAGTTTATATACTTCTACAAAACTACAGCTGTCATGAGATTTATAAATAAGATTTGGATATGCTGCAATACTCACTGTACTAAATGATATCAGAACATGTTAACAGATGTGTGTGAAGGATTTACATATTCAGTTTTTAGACATGCCAGACAAGTGTCCTGGCAAAAAAAGTGTATTTTTATCTTTTTGTTAAAGTATTCAGTTTGCATAAAATTCTGTCATTTGAATGAGATTGTACTTGTTTCTTAAAGAACAATATGGCCATTGTTTTTAGAATTGTGTTAGAACTTGCACAGTCATCCCACTTACTATGTAATTTATGTGAAAGAATCAGCTTTCTAAATATATTTTAAAAACAGTGACACTATTTTCAACCCTTTGTAACTCAATTTTTTTTGTGATTTAAAAAAAGACTTTTTAAGCTCCATTTCTTTGCACTATTTATAAGAAAAGAATTTGCAGAATGTTTTTGCCAAGTTCTCTTGTGCCCTAAATTTGTTTCAGCATTGGAGAAGTTCAGCATTTTTCTATTTCTAAAGATAAGTGGGGACAATAATGCTATCCTATAAGTTTTCTACCCATTGATCATAACTCTGTCTAGCACATATTTGTTAAGATGATCTTTTGCTGACATGGAATCTTAAAATTTCTTTTGTATTTTCAGAGTTTCTTCTTTTTAACTTTCTATATCATATATTAACTAGAAAACAATACTTAGCAAATATTCATTCACTCATCAAATATTTTTTAACAAATACTACATGCAAGGCATTGTTCTGAACACTGGAGATATAATAGTGAAAAATAGGCAAAATTTTGTGCCTGAAATGGAGCCTACATCTGGTGGAGTGAGACAGACAATGCACAAAAAAATCAGCAAAACAGATCGAATGTCATTTATCATAAGTGCTATGGAGAAAAAAGAAAAAAGAAGGAAAGGAGACAGAGAATGACAGAGTAGGAGCTGGAAATTGGGGAGCTGCAATTTAAATAGAATGATCAGGAGAACATAAACTGGCTGTTATACACATGATCCCCAAATAACTGTGTCATTTAATCAGTTCCAATGTTTGTACATCATGTGCAAAAACAAATCTATACACAAACATCTTTTAAATTAAATTGACTATAACAATTACCACCAATAATGAAAACAGTGTACTCCCCAGGTGCTTGGAGTCTATCTGGTCACTGTGAACATGATAAAAATGAATATTCTTGTGTGTCGAACTTCTGTGTGTTTAAAATAAAAGGAACAAAAAAAGAATGTTCTTTCATAAGACAAAGGGTATTCTATGCTGTAAAGGATTAAAAAGATAATAGCAAAAATGGTAGAAAAGCTTACTGAATCCAAAGCAAACAAGATTCAAATGGGATGTGGGTCACATCAGTGAGTGTGGATGCTGACACAAACCACAAGTCTCAGTGATGGACATGGGAGATGGTCCCCACTGCCATGTTGCTGATGCTGGTGGGATCCAGGTGTTCTCTGGCAGCCACTACAAATTCCTCCACTCCCACCTGTGGTAGAACTTGACATTGGCTCTAGGCTCTAGGCCTGTGGAAGTATGGAGCTTTTCTTCCAGCTTCTGCAAAGTACTTCCCTATGTGTCTCTTTGCCTCATTCCACCTCACTCAGGGCCTGCCTGCCTTGGCACCCCATGTCAATATGAGTGCTACCCTTTGTGTCCTTTGAGAACAAGCTGTTAACTTCAAGCATGTTGTCAGTTTAGCAACCTACACAAAAGTGTGTGTGTGTGTGTGTGGTATCTCATTTTGAAGCTTATGGTCTTTAATCATCTCATGGAG